AATAATAATAATAATAATAATAATAATAATAATAATAATAATAATAATAATAATAATAATAATAATAATAATAATTTATCATCACCGATATTGCAACAAGATTTAAAATTTTCATTAATGTCAGGACCTGATACAACGTTAGCAGATTTTTTAGCTGTAGATATGGTACAATTTTCCGAGTGGACAGATGGGTTTAATATGTTATTTGATAAAAATATTGGATGTAAAGATACAGCTGAATTTATACAAGTATTGACTGAAATAGGTGTTAAAGTGAAATTACTAGATTTAAGTGGTGAAAGGGTTGAAATACCTCAAAGCGTTGAAGTTCCTGACGAATTACCAATCATTGATAAAAATGGAAGTGGATTCTATTATGACGATCCATTTGCTTAATATTATTTATTTGGAATGATAGATAACATCACTCACTATTTCTATTTAATTTTTAATATTTAGACAGATAATTTATTTAATTTATTAATAGATTTTATTTATTTATATATACACATATATAATAATAAATTAATATAATACACAATATACAATAAAAATTTCTACCGAGCAATATTGTTAAGAGAATAAAAAAAAAACCTGATAAAAACTTGATTTTGCTTAAAAATCTTAAAAACGCGTATAAAATAGTGATTTGTAAAATAGTATAAATAAATATATAAAACTTTTTTATGATAAATAATGATGAATTATTAGGACTTTTAAAAAAATCTTTTTCTTTCTTGAATTATTTCACAAAAAATAATGTTTTTTTATAATTTTAATTTTATTATATTATTATTATTATTTGTTAGTAAAAATGTAAAATGTGATAGTAATATAACAGATCTGTTAGCGAAACCAGTTAGATTTATAGGAGTAGTACTAACAATTGTGCTATCAGCTTTGACGTTATCTGGTGGATTAATTATTTTAATTAGAATAAGTAAAATAAAAGCCGGGAGCAAAGGAACCTCTTTGGGCTTTGGAATTAAATTACCTTTTTATTTTTCTTCAATCAGTTTGTATTGATCTCGTTCTTTTTATTATTATTATTATTATTAATAAATAAATTAACGAATAAAATGATTAACAATTGACCAATAAAATAATTGATTAGATTGTGTGCTAGCAATTATTCAAATATTAAGCGCGGCAAGTATAAATATAAATATAAATAATATTCTTATCGTCATCATCATCATTATTCACTTTTCCTTCTCTATTATAATATAATATATAGGTCACTAATGGATTTTATGTGGAATTATGTACCATATCATATTTCTTTACAACAGTATTATTAGGATTACATTTATTTATTGGAGTAATTGTTGTAATCATGACGAATATTGACCTTAATAAAAAAGCTTATTCAACTTGGGGTTATAAAGATTATCAATTATGGCTATTGATTTTATTTATTGCACTTCCATCCGTTGCATTTGCTTATGCCGGTTTAAGCTATTATGGTGGAACTGAATGGTAAAAAAATAAATAAATACATTTTTACATATGTACGACAACATGAAATTTCTTCTAAATTATTATTTTTTAATTTTTTTTTAGGTGTATTTATCCTTATCGATATGATTGGATGCCTATTACAAATATCATCATTATAACAATCATAACAATTGTTCTTTTTACAACAATGGTTTATTATATAAAACTTTTAAATAAATTAAAAAAATTGAAAAAACCACAGGCTGACTACATTTCAATAAGTGCTATTGATGAATCTAAGCAAGCGTTCGATAGACGCAATGTTAGAAAAATATTATCTTACATCACAGTCTATCTCTTACAATGGGTATTATCGAAAAATTTTTTTTTATAAAATGGGTTTTTTAATTATTATTATAATTATATTTGCTAAAAATAAATTCTTCTTATTGTACGTAAAAATATATATATAGGCCACAACATCGATCTATTTGATAACCCAATTAATCGTAATTATTCATATATTAATTTCTTGGGGTCTTGTAGTTATATAAATATATTAATTACTTTTCATTATTGTTGTTGTTGTTAGAATTTTAATAATAGTAATGTTTACGATTGGTTGAGATTCATTTTAATAGCAGGCAATATATCTATAAAAAAATTTTTTTTTTTGTAAAATTCCAAAATTTAATTAATATTAATTTTAATTTTAATTTATTTAGCAATTTTTATTGGATCAATCGGTAATATAATTCAATTTCTTAGAATTGAACGTTGGAGATATAGATCTGGATATAAAACTACAATTAATCGACAATCATCTCCTCTTCCTACTACTATTGCTACTTCTTCGTAAAGATGTTATGTATTATATTACTATACATATATATATTAATAACATGTAAAATATGTACTATAAATATATATTTATATTTTTTGTTTGTTTTATAAGCCACAGTATCTGAAAAAAGATTTATTTCTCGATATTGTAAAATTTTTCACTCATAACATAAAAAAATAAAAATTTTACATAGCCGCAAATTATTGTTACATAGCCACCACCGCCCATGTTTTTGTGTATTTAATCATCAAAATCTTTAAATGGGATTTTTTCGATCTAGTCTTAATAGTTAGGGGGGGTTGAGTTGGTTTAATGTGTGTGTAAGAATAAATTAACGTCTAAAACAAAAGGTTAATTGCCGATTTATGCATGAATGAATCGGGGCACGTCCCAAAAAAGTCTTAAATATCACATTACAGTCTTTTAGACGCAACACAAAAAGTATAATACAACTTTTTCTGTAAAGGTTGACAATTAACAATTTTAATTGGTTATCTTATCCAAATCTGCGCTTCTTCTATAGTAAAGTCTTAAATATCACGCGGAGCAGCACTCTAATAAAAAATTTTTTATTTATTTATCATCTATGTATGACACAAAGAAATGGCTTTAAATTGTAGATCATTTTTGGACCGATATTATTGTGATTATTGTGATCTCACAAAAATCGACCGATAATTTTATAAGATCAATGCTACATACAATAATCACAATAATATCGGTCTTTTTTTACTTGTAGCTCCGATTGATAGACGAGTACTTTAAAACATTTTGATGCGTAGATACCACCATCCTTGCTCTTTTAAATTCTGAAACTCATAGAATTACATGCAAATTAAATATGTGCAGATACATACATAATTAATAATAAATGAGAACGAAAATTCATTATTTTCTGAAACTAATACTAAAAGCCTTTGGTTTGTTATTTGTTGAAAAATATATAAATGATTTTTTGTTCTTGACGTGGATTTTATTTCCTTGCGCGTTTTTTTCAATCGTTCGATCAACCAATCAATTAATCACTATTCCCTTCATTCTGCCTATATTCCTTACACAATAAATCAAACCTCGAAAGAATGGTAAAGCAACTGACAGAAGAAGATGTAACACCAAATATTGAACTGTTCGAACAAAACGGATTCTTATTGACATATTCATTATATTGGATGACTATTTCTATACTTCAAATTGATTTACTTTGCACAGTCTATGTAATTTATCGAACATTTAAAAAATGGAATTCGTCAAATAATGGCTTATCAATGGCTTACAGAATACCCTTTTATATAGCTATTATAGGTATTAATACTGATATTTATTTGATATTATTTCGTGTATATATGCATATCATTATTAAATACATTTTATCTCCTTCGCGCTTCTCCCCAAAGAAATTTTTATTTATGTATTTCAAACTACAAATTTGGTAGGAATTAGAAATTAATCTATTTAAGTTACTTTAAAAAATAAATTTTAACGCGATATTTATATTTGATAATATTACATATTAGATTCATCCAGCTATCTTTGTCGAAAACTGGCCTGAACCCTATTGTTCAATTATTTCAGGAGGATTCTTTTTTGTAACTGTAACGAATATTTTTATGGTTGGAGTCATAGCATTAATGAGCTGGCTTGTTGGTAAGAATATTTTATATATAATATTTTATATTTTATATTTTATATTTTATACTTAATGTTTGTCTTTAATGATTAGTATGCGTAGGAATTCAACAACCTAATTATGGAAGATTTGATTATAAATTATTTATTGTGCCAATTGGTTCAGCAATATGTTCAACCATTGTCGCTCGCCCAACTTTTAGAAGCGATGAATTTTGGTGCTATACGAGCGATGAATTTACAACTATACCAAAATTTTTATTAGCTATTGATTTTATCATATTAGTTTTAACATTATTTTGTTATGTGAGTATCATCGTTAGAATAAATTCAGCAGAACTCAATAACACAAATCGTTCATTTTTGATCGCATCAAGAAAAATCGTTGGATATTTAACGATGTACATTATTCAATGGGTAATTATTTAAAAAAACTTTGGAAAATTTATCTGGAAATGTTAAATCTTTAAATCTAATTCTTTTAATTCTATTTAGACACCTTTGATGTCTTATGTAATAGCTGATATTTTAGATGTAAGTTGTGTAAATTTCTCTAATCTGATCTTTTTTCTTTATAATCTAATTATTAATCGTGATTAAAATTGTTTGACTTAATTTAGCAAGAGTATGCTTCAGTATTTTTTATATCTGTAAACTTCATCGCGTTCGGAGGAATATTAAATATGATTCAATATGTTATAAATGAAGGCTGGGTAAATGAAAACAAATCCGGTCTTTCTTCGTTATCATCATCAACTGAATTAACAGCCTCCAATGATAATAATATTATTATTAGAGTTCACGTTCAGAATCAGAATAATGATACTATGGTTGATGATGACCTATCAAGTATTGATAATAAGAATAAGTAGTTTAACAAAAAAAAACTTTTATTATTTGTATGGAAAAAATTTTATACGTAAAATTTTTTCGACGACAATAATAAAAAGACAAATATGAAAATTTTGTATGCTTAGTTAAAAAAAGAAAGGAACGCGTGAATAATCAACGTGTCACACAATTAATTTTTTATGATCAATTGTGATATACCAATCAAAATTTTTTACTTGGCCTTTCAAATACAACTTTAAAGCTGAATAAGGAAATATTGAATGCCTATCTGAAAAAAAATAGAGGTAATATTTGATATCTTTTGACTAGTTCTATCAATTGTCAAAAAAATTAAATTACTGGTTCCAGGTTATTTGCTTTTAAAAATCACATGTTTCTATATGTTATATAAAAATTTCCAAATTAGGTTGTCAATTCTATTTTTTTTTTAAAGATAAGCATTCAATATTTCCTTATTTAGCTTTATGGGTTAAAATTATTGCGAGTAAATCATTATATTGAAAATTTTATAGTAATGAAATGTTAGTAATATCATGCATGGAATTTTCTATTAGCTTCGATTAGCAATTGATTTTCTATAAAGCCAAACATTTAATTAATTGTATAAATTTTAAAATTTTTTGATCAGAGCTCTTTTTATTGATAAAGAACAAAATGAGCAAGATTTTGAAGTATCGTTATTGGGAAAATCCGCGTCACTTTTCTAAGTGATGCTTTTTTCCAATTTTACAATACTCTTCATATATAAATTGTTGAAAGTTTTTTCAAATAACAACTAGAGGAATTACTGTTATAGAGATTATATTATTTTTGTGGAAGATAATTGTTTAGATAATTATTTATATGGAAAATATTACATTCAAGCTCTTTTCATAAGAAAAAATATCAATTAAACCCGCGTGATTTCATTTGACACATCTTGCCATTAATGTCAAATTAATGCTAACCACAAATAATAATAATAATAGTCTTCCCTATTCTATTGGTAAACAATTTATTATTTATAAAGTAGAGAGACTTAATTGAATTTATTATACCAGCAATTGATTAAACTGATGGCCAAACTAATGCCACTAATGTTAAATGCCAATCAACCATATAAATTAATAAAACAAGTAATAAATGATATTTTATAGAAGTTTCCTTGATAGTCGCAAGAAGAGCTGCACACGCACATATATATATCATTTTTATTTCGAATTAGAAACAGTAAATTTTTATTGAAATGATAATTTACAATTTTAATAATAAAAGGTTTATTATTATTATATTATATTTATTAATTTGAATTATCAAGAACGGATAATTATACCAACTATCATTAAAATGATGATGATAATAATAATAATAACAATCCATTTAATAATTCGAATCGATTATTATAACTGCGTAACCACATGATAATCCACATAATAAAATCTGGTATCACCAAAGAGTTGAATAAAATTAACTTTTATTCCGATGCGAATTTTTTTTTTGAGCTGGCTAGCTAGTTAATCAATTAACCAATTATCCAACTATTTAGTTAATTAGCTACTAGCTAGCTAATATACTAACAACTATACTAATTGAATATGTGTGATGCCGATCCATCCATAAAAGAACTTTCAACCTAAAAAAAATTCCACCAAATGTGGACATTTTCCGGTAAGCTTATCCTATTTCCTCTGACTGAATAAGATAATAATAACACTACGGTGCAGATCGTATATAATCAATTAATTAATTGCTTATAATAACAATTGGTCAGCTTCAAAATACTAAGCAAAAAAATTTATACCATTTTAAAAAAGCTAACCGATAATTTTATTGTTAATGACTCAAACTTCAAAACTTATCGGCTAATTTTTTATTTTTTCTTAATTGAAATTGGCAGAGCCTTAATATTCTGAAGATTGTAAGAAAAATTGGGACTAAATAAATTTTGTTACACAAAATTTATTTTCATGGAATATTTTTTTTACAACATGTATTGATTTATCTGTATTATTTATCCTTTTTTTTTTTTTAAATTAATAATAAAATTCTTTACAATAAAAACACATGACAGCCGGATCTAGTTAAACATATGTACTTGTTTTTGACTCAAAGCATCGTTTTATCAAACATTCGTTTTATTAAGTAGTATTTGATAAAATGAAGTTAATATATATTTAAAAAAAAATACAGTTTAAAAGTTATATATATATCAAAATTTATATATTCGTCTATACTACGTTGACGTGCTAGCGAACTTTTTTATATAATAGAATGCTACTTTCAACGAATTTTAAAACGAGTAGCAAGGTCTTTATTCGTAGGAGTAGGTTTCGATTGTTTTAGAACACATATTTCTCTTTTTCTTTTAATATCAATGTATCTTTTCATTTTAACATTTTTTAATGTGGAAGCAATACGTAAATCATTTATAAAATTTACAAAATAAAGTGAAGTTTCTTTCGATAAACCGATATTATTCGTCTTATCAAGCTATAATTTATTATATGTGGAACCATATGCTATAATATTCTTAAACATTAAAGTGAAACAATCGTCTTATTGAGTTTATTTTTATCATAAATGAATAGAAAAACCCATTATAACAAAAATTCATCAAAAGAAAATCATTACCAAATTTGGTCACGTAATTCAAAATATTGTGACACGAAAATTATTATCGCACAACTCTAAAGTTTAAAAAATCCGAAAAAAAAATCGAAACAACTTTTTCTTTAAAGTTATATATACGTATTTTAAATGTTTAACTTTTGAGTATAGATGATCCGCACTGTATATTAATATGAGGCAAATTTCGACGGAAAATTCGCTAATTTCAGTAATTATCATCGGTTAAATTTCTCTAGACGAGGTAAGATAGGTTATATCCTATTTTATACAATTTTTCCTTTCCGCACGTGCTGTAAAATTCGACCGCAAACTATATAGTACAAGCTCATAAATATTAGTGATTGATAGCAAGTAGTAAAACAATATATATATATACGTTTTATTAAATGGTGGTGGTAGAAAATATGATTTTGACCAAACGAAAAAAAATATATATCAAAATATAATAATATTCAACACTTATTAATGAAATTTAAAGTTTGAGAATCTGATAACTAAAATTAACTCATAACTTGAGAATGTGACAAAGAATTTTTCCTTGGTATATGACATTCCAGATGATAATAAAGCTGATTATATGAATTTATGTACTGGAAATTAATTTTGTTAATTCTGATGAAATATATGATTCAAGCAGAACCAAGTATGATGCATATAACAATCAGTTTTTGATGCTAATATTTTCAAAGTTAGTAGATATAGATGTAAAAATATGAGGCATATACTTCAATAAGACTTATCAAAATTCCAGTAAACAAGATCGTGTAACTCATCCTAATTTTTAAAAAAAAAATTCCAATTTAGTAGTAAAGTAACTCTTGCAGATTCAAATTTTTGAAAATTGGAACAATGCTAATTGACAATTGGAAACAAGAACAACGTCGACAAACAAATTAAACATCCAATACTTCATCATTAAATAACGTTACAAATGTTCAAGGATCTAAATGGTAAATAAGAACAAGGTTTAAAAGACTAAATGTAAATCAAATACCTCCCCATACATAAGTTTGCTATGAATTATAAAATATTTTAAAAAAACCATTTTAATGCATTATTTTCTTAACAGTGCCAGGACTAGTACTGCAAACATTTCTGTTTCGCGTCCGGTCGTTATTGTTTTGTCCTAGTTAATAGAAAAACTTATTTGGAAAAAATCATTGCAATGTATAAAAAAGGTTCAAATTTGCATTCTTATGTTGACTCCAGCAGATAAATAGATACACTTCAACCAGAATTTAGCACCAATTACAAAATAACATATTTACTACATCCACTAATCAAGGATATCAAAATTTTACTCATTTAACTCAAAGCAGATTGTTTGATATGTTATGGGCAAACACATTGATTTTCAAATAAATATTCATTCAGAAATTGGAATTGGTATAGTTTTAACTAATCAAAACTTTAATTGAATGTGTTAATTGATTAGTAATGTAAATAAAAGATTAATAATCATTAATAATCATTAATAATCATTAATAAAAAATTAATAAGCATGGATAAGAAATTAATATAAATAAACAAATAAAAATACAATTTTTTAATTTTTTCATATAAAATCTAGTATTCAAAGAATAAATTGTATTGCAATCCAAATAATAAAATTTATCAACTGGTTGTTTAAACTGTTTTTAGAAAATATTCTTTATATATAATTTAGCGATCAGAAACATCTATATTATAATTATAATTGATTGGTATCCCACCTAAACTACATAAATCTTTCCAGCTATTGTATTCGGGAATTTAATTCAAATTATTTTCTCAATCATTCATATATATATTCATTCACTAATTATAGGTTTACTCAGAGACGTAAGGAAATTCTCAATGATTCATTATTCCCAATTCTATTTATAGATGCGGGAAAATTCGAATTTATTTTCTAATAATTCATTGTTCATTCATATATATATATTCATCCATTAACTCTATTTGTTACGGTTTCAATAACATCAGATCCTGCCATTTATTTATTATTGTATGAAATTTATGTATGTATGAATTAAGATATTTATTTATTTAAGATTTTGAGATTAAATAAAAATATACTCTGATGGATGACAGGTTAATTACGTTTTAGCTATTTACTATCAAATAACAATATGATTATTTTTGATACAACAGGACTATTCTATTAGCCGTATAATAATGGTTTAGTATTAGGTTTCTGAAATATCGAGATTAGAAATTACATATTTGGTAAAGATTATCTAGTATTGTTGTATAGTAAATAGTAATATGCATAACCGCAGCATATTTTAAAATTTTATTGGTGGTTCTGCACTTGGATAATTAATTATACAATATTTTGGCCTCAAATTCGTTTAACACTACATAATCAAGATGGGGGTTTTTTTTTATCAAAAAAGCAATAGTTCATTAATAATTATTTATAATCAAGCAATTGGTTACAGCTTTACCTGGCTTTTTTTTTCAATGGCAATGATCGTTATAAAGATGGACACATTTACACTAAAACAAATGGCAATATTTGTCTCATAAAAAAAAAAATAAATAATCATTATTTAAATAGAATAAACAGAAATTTATATTTTAAATGTACAGTAGCCCAAAAATCACACAACAACAAAATGGTTGAATGTGCACATTTGACATCCAAATTTCCAAATAAAAAAAAAAATCAAAAGATATGACAACTGTGAGAAGTTGTTACTTCTATATAATATTACTGTTAAATATGATTAATCTATAATTTCATTTTGATATTTAATAGTATCCAAATAAATAAGATAAAATATTAATAATACATAATAAAAATAATAAATGTCAAGATTTAACTTATTTGAGTAATTCATCTGGCATAGTTAATTCAATTTGTTGAGAATTTAAAAAATATTTAACATAAGAATGGATATTATAAGTTTTAAAAATGAAAACAATCAATGATTAAATGTTAATAATACCAATAATTGCCACTTTATTGGAATTCACAGATTTATAAATTTTAATAATTTGCTGGTATAAACAGCATTTGAATGAATTGTTGCAGTAATTGTCAAAGGATCAAAATTTTATTTCATCCATTTCATAAAACATTTTTCCAATTGATTCCAATTTATCCTTCTGTTCTTCTGAAGGATCAATAAATGAACCATCTCAAAAATTAATAATAATCATAAAAAGTTCTTCGGCAGTTGGATGTTTATCTGGACTAGCATCCCATGCATCTGAATGCTAGTTCAATATAGGATTTTAATGTGTTGTTTGAAAATCCAGGTCTTATACCTTCATATATTTTTATTGCAAGGTCTATCTATACATAGCAATAGTAATAAATAGAAATGGGAACACCTTGACATGAATCATCACTAGCTTCCAACATCAACTACAAACTCTTTATACAAGCAAACAATTTACATTTAATAATGAATGCTGACGAGGAAACTTGGGAGAAGACCCCGGAAACTACATAGATAGGTTACCCTAAAATTTTCAAAATTTACTAGTGAGTTTATTCAACACTTTTTATATTAGGTTTACCCAAGTTGGTAATAATAATTTCACCCAAAAATAGATATGTTAAAAAATATTTTTACTTTGTGCAAAAAAATTATAATCATTCAATGAACCTTGAGATCACTAGAATTATAACAATTGAAATTTGAATTATTACCAAAATAATATATTAGTTGTGAAGACTTGATATGTGCATATAAGTTTCCATCTAATCCACATTTTTGTGAAAATATTCCTTCTATAATTCTAATAAATGTAATAAAATTTCAATCGACCATAAGCATGTCTACAGTACACACTCTCTATAGCGGCCTTTTCTATAACGGTCTACACTCTACGACGAACTGAGACTATATAAAAACCTTATTCTATAACGGTCTTCTTAATTAAATTTCCTATAGTATATAACGGCCTATCTCTGAAATTCATCTATATGTTTTATACAGTAACTGTCTATAACGGTCGACGATCATAATCTGAAACTGTAATTGCCATATTAGAAAATTTTTCCGTGCCACATTAAATTAATTAGTTACGAAATACATTATGATCGCGATTATTAATCAGAACGCACTTATAACTACATATGTAAACCCGATAAGCCGGGTTTGACCTAACTCGGCCAAAAAGTTTCGCCCCTTTTTTTACTATTTAAAAAAATTCGATAAGTTGGTCGATCTATATAAAGTCGCGATAAGCGCTAAGTCGGTAAATTACTTAGCCCAGTATAATTAAATGAATCACGACAAGCCGGTCTCATGTTAGGTTGTACTATGGGACTATGTAGATCAAAACTAATTAATATATATAAATTTATTAATACACAGTGAATCTCGATTTAGCGGATAGTTTGGGCAATTGGGGAAAAATTTCCAAAAATCCGTTATTATTATACCGAGATATCCGCTATACCGAGAAGGTTTTATTAAGGTTTATTATGGAACCTTTATCCGTAAAACCGAGATTTTTAATTGGTATTCGTTAAATCGAGATGCGCTGTGTAAAACTTTTTTTCAAACAAATATAAAAATAAAAATTGCATCTTCTTCTTCTTCTTCTTCAAAAAAAAGATACAAGTATGAAATTAAGGAAAATTGTAATAACTTTTTTACTCTAACTTGTTATCGGGCCTTGTGTTTCAATGTTTAACAGTATTTTTAACATTTTACTAATAAAATTAAAAAAAACTCTCTGTTACCATGTGGACCATTACATTTGTTATAATTTCTCTTAATTTTATAGTTGTATATTTTTTTTTTTTGAAGGAGAAGATGCAATTTTTATTTTTATTAGTAAATTTTATATATTAATATATATTTTTTTTAAAAAAATAAATGTGCACACAATATGTGTAACGTGATACACCCTGATTGAAATTTAAACACTGCTCATGTGATATTTTTCCCACATTTTTGTATCACTTGAGAGTGAAAAAACTTGGAGGTTATCCATTTCCGCTAATTCCTGTTAAACCCCATTTGATTGACTTGACTAGCAAAGGTTCACCCATGCTGTCCATTATATATTGGTATGCTATCAATTATATTTTCATCACAATCCTCTGTCCATTTTCCTTTAGTCAAGATTGTTCTAATCAACAAAGTATCACTGACATAATTGATTAAGAAATTGTTGTGCTAGTCTGGTTCTGTTTGTGTCCTTAAAGTGGAAATTGTGAATGGCAAAATGAAAATTATGGAAATTTAAAATTTAAACAAAAATTTTTTTGATTACAGTTTTAAAAGCAAATCATTTATAGTTGAACAATTCTTGACTTGAATTTCCTAAAAAAAAAGTCTAAATGAAATCACTGTTGTTGTCATTGTCATTATTAAAGTATCATGAAACAAAATTCAATTATAACATTTATTGTTTTGTTTGACTTTTAAAAATATTTATTTTGATATTCTTAATATTTTTACTCTTGATCATATATTTCAGACAGACTACACAATGATTCTTTTATCTCCAAAAATTCATCAAAATCAATTCCTTTATCACCTTCTTGATATTCTTTTAAATTTTTAAAATCAAGTTTATTTAAAAACTCTTTATATTGATCAAGAAATAACTTTGGTTTGTTAGAAATTGTAAAGTGAGTTAACATTGGAATCTCTTTAACAGTTGGTTTATTCTCATTTGTAGTGGAAGATTTTTGATTTACAATTAAATTTGGATTTTTTGTAGAGTCAATAAATCCGTCAATTGTTAAATGATTATTATTAAAATACTTGGGAAATGAATTTGGTATTGGATAGGCAATGCTTGTTGAAAATTTGAAATTACTTGGACATTTGATTGATTCGAAACTTTGAAATATTTCATTGATTATATCATTAGAAAATAATTTAGGTTTGTTGGATTCTGTATGAAATATCTCAGGTATTCCTCTTAGTATAATTGATTGTGAGTATAACTTTGACATATTATCCTATAAAATTTGTTTGCTCATGTGAATTTGAAATAATAGTAATAGTAATAATAATAGATTTTAAAAAAAATTGTATTTTTTACCTTTTTCTTAACTTGACCTTCAAAAAAATTGTGCATAATATTGTTGTTAGGTAATAATGATTTTGTATTTATGTCACCAAAAACACTAATAGGTAAAGGAAATACAGCACCAAGACTTCCTATTTTAGTATTTCTAAGCCAATTCATTTTATCTATGAAGGAATCCATTGACATAAAATTATTTCGAGTTCTAATTGTTTTTTTTTTTAAGTTATTAATTATTTAATAAAATATTCATTTTAAAAAATATATCTAAAAAATAAATAATTACCTAAAAGGTAAAATGGTTGATTCTATAACAGCAGACATAATACTACTAGAGTGATATGACAAATCTAACTAGTTAATAATAATCAATAATAATCAATAATAATCAATAATAATCAATAATAGTAAGTTAATATATATATATATGTATATTATATTATGTGATAATATTTTATACTTACATTTGGATGAATAAATTTGTTCCATTCACTATTATTTAATATATTATTAGAAGGTTCATTCATAGGAATAAACATTGATGACATGTCTGTCAATTGTATTAAACTTAAAATCGTATTCAAATTATTTTTAATATAATGACTATGCTAAATAAATTAGAAAATAATAAGTGAATATATAAATATTCTATTCTTAAAAAAAATAAAAAAATAAAAATCATTTGTTTAACCTACATTTGAGCTTTTTATTAAAGTTTCATTGATCCCAAAAGTTAAAACAGATTTCTTTGGATATTCTTCAATCAATTGTTCAACAAAACCACAAGAAAATCCACCAAATCCATCATTAAGATTTGTGATTATTTGAAATCCCTATAAAATAAAATCATTAAAAAAAAAAATAATAAAAACATAATTTTTTTAAAAAAAAAAATGAATTTACTTGAATTAAATCACATTCTTCAGCAAAAAATCTGAAATTTTCATCAAATGAATTCTCATCTTCCTATATTTTAAGTAAGATAAAACAAATAAATAATATTATCAAGTTAACAAGATATAGGTTATCATCATCATTAGAATGTACCTTTTGGTGATCTAAATAAGCATTTTTGCCAAAAGAAAAAACATCAAATGGCATGAATTCATCATCATATTGATACTGTGTGACTCGATTTATGCTTTTAGGGTGATAATAAATTTTATTAAAATCTGACCACATCTTAACACTTTCATCCAAATCAAAATACTTTTCTTCAAAATCAATTTCCATCATATTTGGATCTTTTGTAGAATTTATTATTGCCTCCTAATTAATTATATGTATTATATACGAATAAATAAGATAATTTCCAAATATAATTGCTTGATTTATTTATTATTTACCTCTTCAATTTCTAAACTTTGTAAATATTCATTTTTTGCATATGGTGTTTGTTTGTAAGTTATATTTTTCCAATCCCTATATAAATCATTTCAAATAAATAAATAAATATTTAATTATAAATACACAAATATTTGAATATAATAATAATGGAATACCAAATTTGATTTTGTTGTATTTCTTCTTTATTATCTGAAAGGTCCTCCTCATAAAGTTTATTCATTTTTCTAATTGATCCAAATCCACCTTTTGAAGGGAAAATATATAAATGAATATGATGAATTTTCTATAAATATTTTAGAAAATACCTTTTAAATCATAAACCAATAGTCTTGGCATATAAGTTTCAATCCCCTGAATCATATTTTACAAACATTAGTTAATAATCCAAGTTTACTCATGATGATATATTATTTTATTACAACCTTTTGAGTAATTCCTGATCTGTAAAGTACATCGTGTAAAATTCCTGGTTCATGAGCATTTTCCAAATCATATGAAAAATAAGAATCCTGTTAAATTCATAAAAATATAAACGTATTTTCTTTTATATATTAAGATTAAAACAACGAAAATTTTATGAAATCAAAACCTGTGTATTCCAAAAATGAGTTCCTATAAAATTTGTAAAATGTCCAAATTGTAATGTCAAAATTTCGTGCATTTTGTGGGAAAGATTTTTATCGTTTGTCGTACATATTATTGATCTACATGATAAAATAATTATAAAATCTTTTCATGTCATTTTATGCAAGAGAACGAAGTTCGTCATCAATCAGACCAATCTCAATTAGGCAGGGTCTACTTACTCGAGATGGTTCTGCAAGTTTTAAATTTGGTAATTATAATATTCATAAGTTTATAAGGAAATTCAATACCATTAATATTTAATGACTTTTTTTTTTAGGCGAGTCGTGTGTTATTTGTTCAGTGAATGGTCCAGCAGAAGTAAAAATACGTGACGAAAAATTAGATAAAGCAACAATCGATGTAGTAGTCAGACCTTTGGTTGGTACTCCAGGTACCAAACTTTTTATTTCAAAATAAAAAGATGTAGATTTTTTTTTATTGGTTTTTTTTACTATAGGTACAAAGGATAAAAAGCATGAATATATTTTACGATCCATTTTTGAAAGCGTCATTCAATCAGGTCTTCATCCAAGAACTTTAATTCAAATCGTATCACAAGTGATGGAAGATGACGGAAGCGTATCCTTTACATCATATTTTTTAACTTATCAATTAATATAAAGGTGATGAAAATTTTATTTATTTATTACTACCTTGAATCATTTATAATGGATAGATTTTAGCGACTTCAATTAATGCAACTACTTTGGCTTTGATGGATGCAGGAATTCCAATGAAAAATGTAGTGACAGCAGTATCGTGTATTTTAGATAAAAATGATGAGATATTAGTGGATCCTACATTACAAGAAATGGAGGTTGTAAAAAAATAAATTAATATTTCTTGATTGATTACATTTCCTTAATAATATTTCTTTGATATATTCTTTTTTTTAAAATTTTAGAATTTACAATCTGCGCATACTTTTGCGTTTGATAACACGTCTTCAAACTTAATATTTTGTGATTCCTCTGGTATTTATAGTGAAGAGCAGGTAAATTGGAATTTATTCATTTTAACTTATTATTATTATCTATCTATTTTTTTAACTAATATTATATTTTTAATATTTTTATCATAAATAATGAATCTAGTATTTTAATTGTTATGAGCTTTGTCGTGCAGCTTCATTTAAAGTACTTGCTGAAATTCGGGATTCAGTAGCTAAACAGTAATAGTGAAACTGCATATCGGATAAAAATTGGAGAATCTGCATATAATAGTAAATTTGGCTATCTAAATAAATTTTTTCTTATATTGATCTGGAAATTTGGGATTTATTACACAAATTACTATCGACATACTAAAACTTGCAAAAAAATATCATCATAAATTCCTAATGTGTTTAATTTTGACCAAAATTTTGATATCCTGTCCCCTCAATGGTGCAAATTTAGTGTAAATTTGCACTGAAAATGCAAACCAATAATGCTCCAAAATTTTTTATATTTCAATAAAATGGATATTTTGTGTAAGGAGGGAATCCAAATATATGAAAAATATTGATTTCAGCTCATTGAAAACATAGCCATGTGAATTTGGAATTCAATAGAAACGGACCATCCGTGTTGTGAAAATGATGTTTCGAGAAAATTAGCATTTCAAGTAATTTACTATTGTTTTTGGAAAGATAGGTAGGTATTGTTGTGTGTAATGATTGTGTCGGGCCTGTAATAAAGATAATTGAATTATTCAACACAGAAACTAAATTTTCCATTCTTCTTAAACTATTGGAGAAGGTGAGGAAGGGTATGGTATTAAATCATTCCAGCATTCCAGCTATTTCAAATTCATTTATGATTTATTTGTAATATCAACAAAATGATATATGAATATTTCAAATTTTCATCAATCATTGAATCAAAAATAAAAATTGAAAATTATAAAAAATTCCCTATAGAACAATTATGACCACATCCAGTTGGACATTCATTGTTTCGACTAAACCATTGTTTCATATGAGTTAAATGCCCTCCGTGACTACAGCCCTGACACCAAGTATAAAGACCTTTAACTGTATTATGACTAAAAAAAATTTTTTTTTTTTTAATGAAAAAATTTTCATGGAATATTAAATTCAATAAATAATAATATTAACCCACCATATTGAACAAGGATTTAATAATTTATGACATTTATCACATGACCAAAATCCATTACTTTTCAAAGAATTATTTAGAATATGTTTATAACAATTATTACATGTAGTATAAATGGTTGTAGATTGCTAATATTAATAAAGACATGTGAGACATTTAATAATTATAATTAAAGAAAAAAAAATATCAATAATGATAACTCTAATATTTACTTGGTTTAGCATTGAAACTGCTGCGATTGGACAAGAAGAAATGATATCTGTGGCTGTTACCCAAAGTTGAAACCTATGTAATAATTCTAAAATGTATGAAAATTAAAGATAAATTATAAACGGTTCTGATTATAAATATTGGTTACGTTGATTAAATGATAACGATAAAAACAAACCAATATATGAAAAAAACCATTGTTCTACTCTTTCATTATTAAGCTTGATCCTATCTCCAATCACAAGGATTAAAGTGACACACATCTGCACATCTCCCTATATAACAAATAAAATAAATAAAATTTAAAAATGTAATTTTTATCTTTGGAATAATTAAATAAATGTTCACCTGTTCTGAATAATAATCTAATAATTGTGAAATTATTTGTTCTTGAACTAATGATGGCATTAAACTTGTCTTTATAGTTGGTCCACAAATAAAAGCATTTTCTGATAATTTAGCAGAACTTTTTTGATTGCGTAAAGTTTTGTGATTGGTAGATGATTTGTCTTCTTGAACAAATTCATCTTCACTCTCCTCTGATTCAATTGATGAATCATCATCCTAATAATATTAATAGAAAATGATTACAAAATAAATTAACAAATCAATGAAAGCAGAATTTTTATTACGTCTAATGCTCCTGCTCCTCCTTCTGATGTTTTTTCTGTTGGTGTATTATTACTACTACTGTTTTCATTCGCTGAATTATTGGATGCTTTGGAATAAAATCTTGATTTCAAAGGACCGTGTGAATGAGGCTCTTTAGAGTGTTGTTCTTCAGCTCCATTTTGATCTAAATATTCGTTCATTAATATTTAAACTAAATCTAGACAAGCATGTTGTATAAATTATAACTACCATTTTTATTATCATTAATATTATTATCTATTTTTTCATGTAACAATTGAACTATTTTCCAAGTTTGTACTGTTTTAAATTTTTGCGCATCTTGCGCGATCTAAATAAATAATAAAGCGATTAGTATTAAATGTGATTTTTTAACAATAAAAGAATAAAATAGTTTACTTTTGCATTATGTTCACAAGTCTCCCAAATATTTTGATTAGAAATCATATAATTTTCTGCAAGGTATGAAAATGCTTTATAATCAAATGTTTTAAAAGATGCCATTCCAGTTTTTTGTTGTAATTTGTAGTAACCCTAATATTATCATTGATATTATTATTAAAAAATATATGCAAAACAAATCTGACTAATCAATTAATTACCTCATTTGATGAATCTATCGTTCCAGGAGGTATATATTTTTGCGTTTTTTTAATTTGATTATGCTGCCTAATATTTCTGTTTGCCCGCATGAGTATGATTGTTTATTATGTTAGCTTTTTTTATATTTCAATGGTGAAAAAAAAAACAATCTAATAAATTCTTACTGATCATCAATTATATCATTATTGTTGTTGGGTTTGTCTACAGCAAATGCTAATTGATCATAAATACTCCAACCAATTCCACATTTACTTAATAAATCCAAGGGTCGATACGATCCTTTGATATATTGTTGCATAAAATATTTATCCTTTGAGCAAGACCATAACACGTCACAATCATGCCATAAAATTCCTATTAAAGCAAAAATTATTATGATTATGAAAATACATGAAAAATTATTTACAAGATTTATAAATTAAAAATACCTGTTGGAACCTCTTCATGTGTCTCGAAGAAATAACTTGGGATGTAAGGTCTTTTAACATTCCAAACAAATATTCTTGAATCGACCAACGATGAACATGATGCAATCTCATTCGGATAATTTGGTCTCCATCTGATATAAGATATACCTGACATAGTATTAATCGCATTTTTTGACTTTCTACTATCCGAATTCATATCCCATATCTATTCAAAAATAATAAAAATTAGAATCATCATCATCATCATTATTATTATTAATACAAAAACAATTAAACATAACTTTGATAATTTTATCACGTCCTCCGCTAGCAATTGTTCTGCCATCAGGGTTCCAATCAACAGATAACACTGATCCAATATGTGCATTGTATCTTTTTTGATGAATTGATGGCTTCCTAATATCCCATTTCTTTAATTAAATAAAAAAAATTTGTCAGAATATATTTATATTAATACATACAGATAGATAATATTTTATTTATTTCACCTGAATTGTTCCATTATCAAATGCAGCCGCAAATTCATATTGATTCATTGAATTAAATTGCACATCACGAACACCATCACATCTTCCCTGAAATGTGTATCTTGCCTTTTCTGGATCTCTAAGATCCTAAATAAATAAAATTTTTATTTACTAAAAATTTAACATATTCAACTATATAATAAGTAAGCCAGAAATACCCACCCACAATTTCATGGTACAATCTTGTGAGGCGCTTAACAATAATGAACCTTGCATTGGACTAAAACATATCCTATTAACAGCACGTGTATGTTCATTGATTCTTCGATCTGTAAATATTTTTATTATTAGAATATTTATTATTTAAGGAGGAAGAGAGAATAAAAAGATGGTTTAACAAAACAATGCGCGCGCACACACGCACAATAAAAGAAGAATCTTCTTACCAATCCTTGATCTACCATTTCCTATATCCCAAATAACAATCAAACCATTTGAAGCAGCAGTAGCTATTTTGTTTCTTGAAACTAAAATACATAAATTTCACGTAGATCAAATGATAATTTAAAAAATAATCAATCATCACACATACACTCCCCCGCACATTTGTTTCTTGTAAAAACAAATGTCATTTTATAATACTAACTATTATTTCCCCATTTAACATCATTGCTATTATATTTATTCGCAACCTTAACTTTCAATTCTTCCGTAATCTCATTGCCTGATACATTCAAAATTTTCAGCACTATGTGGTATATAAAATAAATTTATTAAATTTATTAGTAAGTTTTATATTTTTTTTAAAAAAAAAAGGATTTAAATTTGATAATTCACAACAGCCTTCACGTCCGACAACAACAGCACGAGTTTGATCAGGCGAAGCCGATAAAGCTGTTAATGAACTATTGAATTTATATTTTGTTATATAGTTGTTATTATTATTATTAAAATCATTAGATGGTGATGGTAGTTGTTTTTTGTATTGATTTGTTGTTGTATCAGTTCGACTGCCGCCTCTAGTAGTAAAACTAGAATTAGAAGAGTCGGTCTGATTGTTTCCATTAAGTAAAGAGCCAGTATTTGGTAATGTCCATGTTGAAGGTGCAGCATTTGAAGTGGTAGGGCGTACTTCTGTAAGCCAACGTGGAATAATTTTTGCACGTTCAGTCATGACTTTATCATTAACAAGTAGCGTAATGTAGAAAGAAATTAACTGTTTTACTAATTAAAATTTTGTATTTCTAATTTTTCTAAAATGAAAAGATTGTTACATCTGATCATTATAATCAATCTATTGTTTTTTTTGATTTATTAAAATAGAAAAGAGCTGTTGATTTTTTAATTGTTCCGAAGAAAATAACTTCTTTTTCAACAAATCTGCATCCTGTGACAAAACGAACATTTCAAGTGATAAATTTTTTATCACATTTACTTTATAGATGTTTATTTACTTTTTTTCTTTAAATCAAAATAAAGAGTAAATTATAGAATTACTATATGAATAACTATGTTTTGAAGGGATAGAAGTTTTTCATTTGATGATGAAAATATTAATAATAGTAATAGCTGATCGAGGCACAAAAATGTTATTATTAGTATGGACAAAAAACATTTCAAAAGATGCTCTTTAAAAGCAAACAAATTGTTTGACGAATTCAAAAAAGTGAAGATTCCGATGAATCAACCCTTAATTATAAAAAGGAGATAATCAAGATGCCCAAAAGCGGACGAGTTTTTACCCTTAGTTCAACCAATTAAAAGTCAGAATTTTAAAAATCAGCTTCGAAAATAGAAATGTGTATATGTTTAATATTATTAAAAACATTTTGTGATTTTGTGGAGTGTTTGGGTAACGTCGAATATTTCACGCAGATAATTTCCATATTTATACTGGTTTGTACGTGGTCGAATTTTTATTATATACAAGAATCATAAATGTCTTCTTCAAACCAATTATCAGTTAATCAACGTCATCAAATATGTAATCATCCTAGAGTCGGTTTAGGTGTTTTTGTAGTAAAAGATGATAAATTTTTGATTGGGAAAAGAAAAGGTTCTCACGGTTCTGGTACGTTCGAATTTTTTTATTTAATTAGTTTAAATTTATTTTAAGTATGTATTTTTAAACAGGGACGTGGCAACTTCCTGGAGGTAACAATTATTACAATTATTATATCCTCAACAACTAATATCAAGAAGATTATCATCATCGAAGCTTTTATTTATTTTCATTAGGCCATTTAGATTTTGGAGAATCATTTGAAGATTGTGCAAAGCGTAGGTTATATTTATACGCGTTGTATATACATTTTATAAATCGATTAATTTGTTATTTTTATCTTTATCAGGTGAAGTATTGGAAGAAACAAATTTAAAAATTAAAAATGTTCAATATCAAGCCATTATTAACATGCCAATGTTATCCGATAATCTTCATTATGTAGCTATTTTTATGCGTGGTGAGGTGATTGACAAAAATTCTATGCCCAAAGTAATCAATCAATCATTAATTATTATTATTATTATTATTATTATTATTATTATTACTATTATTATTAAAATAATTTAATACAACTTACTTTGATTTATTTTATTTTTGTAAGAACATGGAACCAGATAAATGTGAGGCATGGGAATGGGTTACTTGGGAAGATTTAACAAGAGGTGGTCCTGAAAGTAAAGATAATAAGTATCGACCTTTGTTTCAACCAATTATATTATTATTGATTGAACAAAATTATTATAAACCAATTTGAAATTGTTTATTTTGTATTGAGGGGAAGAATTGATTTTAGAGAGATAAATGCCAACTTGTGGTTATATTAAATATTAGATAGAAATTTTATTTTATTGAAAATCATTAGTTCTTTTTAAAATCAGGTTTATTAATATGTCTTCTGTGTGTTGATGGTATCAAGCCTTTAATACATATGGTTTTTTTAAATAAAAACAGAAATAAATATTAATTAATTGATTATATTATATTACTGTATTATATTATATTATATTTTATACTTTTATTAATAATTTATAATTTACCAAATGACCTTGCACGCTTAATTGCTTTTGCAATTTTTCGTTGATGTTTTGAACTTAATCCTATATAAATCAACAAAGCTTTTTAAAATTCATCTATAAAAATTTATCAGTACATTACATATATTATTTATACCTGTAATTGATCTTGGTAATATTCTACCCATGTCAGAAACGAAATTTGATAATAATGTAAAATTCTAGAAATGGATGATTAGGTGAATAGACCATCAACATCAACATCAATCAATTTCAATTTCATAAAAATATTTATTTTTATTGATTACTTTATATTCTACTAATGGATCAAGATTCAACTTTGTAAAAACATCTACATTTGGAGTTTTCCTAATAAATCTTCCAACACGTTTTGTTTTATAACTTTCTTCGTCTAAATCTTGTGGTGAATACAACTATATAAAATATATAAATATGTGAATGATGTATGCATATTAATGACCGGGATTAATAAAAATAATTTTTCTTACTTCACCCTCCATAAATTGTCTTGCATATTTAACTTGAGAATCAGTTGTTTGTGATGGACCTAATCAATTATAATAATTCCATTTTTTGTCTAATTTAAATTCTTGGAAACACACACACACACACACACACACACATATATATATATATTACTTGATGCAGACGATTCACGAAGAATTTCTATGATTTTTGAATGTGGGTCATCTTGAATATTTTTATCACTATCAGCTGTATATGAATTTATTTTGTTATTTTAATAATAAAATAAATAAATAATCAATCAAGAAATCCTTACTGTTACTATCACTACTAATACTAGATGAGTTGTTAAATTTTCTTTTTATTATATTTATTAATAAATTCTTATTGTTGTTATTGTTGAATTGTCGAGAGATCAAATCACTTTGAAGGCGATTTGGTTTATAGCTATTTGAAAAAATAGAGAGAGAAATCCTCATAATTATTTGAATCGGAAATTATTGTATCACAAAAATTAATAAAATGACTGATTCAGAAACAGAGAATTACATATCAAAGATATTTAGCAGATCAATCAACATCAAACAAAAACATACTCGGAACATCACTGTGAAAAACTTTTATCTAATCATGGATATATAAGCCTAAGACAAGAACTTGAAAAAGCAAGTCGTGAAAAAGGACTTGACAAAAAGAATGACAAGGAGGGCGGAAGTTCTAAAAATGAGGTGTAACAGAACCTTTGAGCATTGAATTAAAACAAGGCCATATCTTTGATGTTATGCCGTGGGTTTTTGTGTGTATTTTATAAGAGATTATTAAAAAAAATTTCTTTTGTAACTTGTATATAAAGATAAACATGGTTTAGGAATGTCTACAGAGCTTAAGCAAAAGGCCAAGGTGGGATATGAAAGAAGAACAAAGAAAATCAAAGTGGACGAAGACAGGTTTCGTGAACGAATTAGATAATAACATCTTGATAAACGTATACGAGCGCAATTAAAAGCTTTACAAAAATATGTGAAACTTTTTGGATACAAGAAAAGCTTTTCAAATAAAAACAATTATTGATTAATTTATTAATAGTGAAATTATATTGATGAATTTTATCAATACATTTGTACATACAATATTATTCAAAGATCATGGTAATCCTGACGATTTTTAATTGGTGACCATTATCAAGAATACCATTGGCTAAAGATGATGACAAAGAATGATGATGATGATAAATTTACTAAGCTAGAAGTAATTAATGAAAATTATTGGGAGTTTTTTTTTAAAAATATACTAATACATAAATTTATAATCAATCAATTTTGGTAACTGATATTATTATTGGCCCTCTTGAAAAGCTCGATATAAATATTGAAATATTTACATGAAGAGTATTATTATTATTATTATTGGTGTGGTGGATGCAATTATAATAATGCCGTGAAATTATGTAAATTTTCAACATTGACTCTGCCCGAGTTTGATGATACCTTATTAGTTCTGATGACCGTGTTACATACAGTTACGAAAAGTGAGATGCCAACCACTCATTATAAGGACTATATTTATAAAGAAATGAATTGGCTCAAAGTTTCAATTAATTAATTAATATTTTTAATAAAAGAGTCTTGTATTATTTTATTGTAAAGGAATCCGAAGAATCTTCGCCATAGGCAATGTTGTACTTCTGTACTTAGTAGTAACGAAATTTTGAAATAGATCGTCGAACTCTGGTAACAATAGTAAAAACCACTTCAAAATCATTTTAGTCACTATTTATGTTGGCATTCTTTCAACTTTTAGACTTCATTATTATTAATAGATGCTTTTTGAAATGAGAACAAAATTCATAACCATCATGCCAGGCTTGCTCTTTTTTCAAGACCTTCAAATATAGTATTAAATTCTCATCATATTAAATTTTTCAAGTAATTTAATATTATTAGTTAGATTTTTAAGTGGATCTTTTTTGACTTAATTAATATGGAAGCAACACGCAATAACTTGGTATTACCTGCTGTACTTGGACAGACCAGCAGATATTATTTTACTGACGTATGATAAACCGGGTCACGACTGATAATTTCGGAAATGGGCTCATCGTATACTTTGGATGTAAGAACTAATTTGTAATCATTTTGATTCAACATCTAACGTATAGTTAGATGTTGGTCGTTGAAAATGAATAAAATAAATTTTATAATTTTAGTTACAATCGATACTAATTATTACGAGAGAATTCAGTCTGCAAAAAAAACACCCAACCGGAATGTTCATTGGTCTATCATTATTTTTTAAGAGAAATGCTTGTAATGATCTAGTTTAATAATGTTCGGGATATTTTAACATGTGTGAAAATGTGGCAATCAATAATATTATAAATTGAATTAATAATGAAGCTAAACTATATTTGTTTCAAATCAAATGAGCTCTATTACTTTTCATAATTATTTGATTGGCATCATGAATTTTTTTAAAAATCTCACTGGAAATTATTATGTATAATGTAATTTATCTTGAGCGATAGATTTTAATTAAATCAAGATTAGAAAAATGTTATTATATAAAAATAAAAAATTAATAAATAATAAAATTACTTGATAATATGTATATGTGATTGTAATGTTTTTCTATCTATAATGTATATAATATATACCGATTTATATCTAAATTAATCGACGCCTAAGCTCTATAATAATCAGGCTTTTTAACATTGATCCCATATTCGGATAATGCAGCAGAAAGATCCTCTAACGTTAGAACTGTTTTATTGCGCTGCTAGCAATTCATTTAAAAAAAACAAAAAAGTGAATAATTAATTAATTAAAGAAATTTAGGAATAAATAGAAATTTACTTTTCCAAAATTTTTTCTACTTTGTTGTCTTATCTTACAGTATTGAAATGCATCAGTTGCAATGTCTGCTATGAATTTTTGTGTCGCAATCGACATAAGACGCATTCTTTAAATTATAATTATTATTAATATTAGATGAATTTTTTTAAAAATCTCACTGGAAATTATTATGTATAATGTAATTTATCTTGAGCGATAGATTTTAATTAAATCAAGATTAGAAAAATGTTATTATATAAAAATAAAAAATTAATAAATAATAAAATTACTTGATAATATGTATATGTGATTGTAATGTTTTTCTATCTATAATGTATATAATATATACCGATTTATATCTAAATTAATCGACGCCTAAGCTCTATAATAATCAGGCTTTTTAACATTGATCCCATATTCGGATAATGCAGCAGAAAGATCCTCTAACGTTAGAACTGTTTTATTGCGCTGCTAGCAATTCATTTAAAAAAAACAAAAAAGTGAATAATTAATTAATTAAAGAAATTTAGGAATAAATAGAAATTTACTTTTCCAAAATTTTTTCTACTTTGTTGTCTTATCTTACAGTATTGAAATGCATCAGTTGCAATGTCTGCTATGAATTTTTGTGTCGCAATCGACATAAGACGCATTCTTTAAATTATAATTATTATTAATATTAGATCTATATCCATGATATTAGATATCATTCATTAACTTACATTCTATCATCGTCACAAGAAAAACCAGATCTAGTAAGAAAGTATTCTGTCACGCTGTCAGGAATCTTTCGGAAGCAAGAAGAGTAAATAAATATGAATATAAACCCTTTTTTTAAATAAAATATGTAAAAATAAATTATTTCCAAGAAATTATTATTACAAGTGGTTCCAATTTATCAGTAATTAATAAAATATCTGTCAGTGTTCTGTCGTTTCTTAATAATAATTCTTCTTTTTTTGTAATTGAATTGTCTTCTTTATTTTCTTCTTCACCGCTGCTACTACTATAATTATCATTGCTGTTATCATCCATAATATCTGTAGTTGTCGACATTTTTATTTATTTATTTTCCTTATTATTTGAATATTTAACTTGTTAATGTGTGACAAAATTTCTGCAATTAAAATACAGTCAACCCCCTCTAAGTGCACCCCCCTCGGGAATGAGTGATAGCGTGCACTTAGAGGGGGTGTGCACTTAGAGAAACAAAGCATTTCATTGGTTGCACGTGATACCAATAAAGAATAAAATTTTTTTAAAAATTTATTAATGTATATTAATCAATACCGTTACATTATTATCACCAAAAAATAAAATTTATATAATTATTGATTAAGATAAGATTCCATTGTACTTTGCCTCATTGTTTTTATTGTTTTTAAACTAATATATCTATCAAGAGAATTAACCATTTTTATTTGTTGACTAGAATTTTCTTGTTGTAATAAAAATGTGCAGACAATTTCCAAGCTTTTTGAAGCTTCACTAGTACTTATCAATACTTGCTCAACACTATCATCTTCTTCGAAATCATTAGTATCTATTTCTGGTTGCTGTTTATACATTTCCACAAGAGCTTCAATAATATTATCATCATCAGGAACTTCGTATACAGATTTTTCTTCTGGATTATTCAAATATTCTTGAATAGACATGGCATCATTTAGATTGAGAGCAGCAACTGCCTGAGAAAGTTGGTTTGTTGTTGGGTCATTAATATCATCAGAGAAATTGGACAAATTAACATTAATTCGGTCTGGAAGAATTTTAGTATGATGCCAGCAATT